TAAAAAATGTGGTGTCACCATACTGGGTTTAAATGATTTTTCTTTTTCCCATATATGCATATACTGTTCACCCAGAGCAGGATCGCTGCCTGGTTCTTTGCTGTAATCCTAGTCCTCACTCAAATGCTCTGGGAGCAGAGTTTGAGCATTCTCAGGGTCTCAACAGGACGTCAACTGAAGCTGATGAGTTTCCAGCCCCTTCACACGATGCCTGTGCTCAGCACCCAGAACTGGGATCATCAGCAACACTAAACATTCCATTTTCTTTTTTTCTGAGCAGCACAAACTCTCTTTCTGCAGACTTGCTTATGAGTCATCTGGAAATAAACCATAATCACTTGTCCCCTAGGAGTCATATAGTAAGTTAATTATTGTACAACACATGCTAATACAAAATACACAAGAGGTTTCAACATGTTGAGGCTGCAAGGGGCAGGAGAGCCTTTCAAAATTTCCATTGATTATGGTCTGGGAATGCTGGGTTTCCCTTGACTCTGTATCTATTGCATAATCAGAAACACATTTCGTTCCCTTTGTTGTATGAGGCAAAGCTAAAGAAACGTGTATGTTATTACTGTGCAAAAATAAAGAGTAGATACCTAATGGGCTTATGTCATGTGTGCAGTGTTTGTAAACACAGCTCTGAAGCAATGCCAGCTGCCAGGAACCACCACAGCTTATACCTGAAATAATGCTCTTCTGGATCTGCAAATACCTGCAGTCCTGCAGGGAAGTCAAAATACAGGAGTGGGACGTGCTGGGTGAATTTCAGGCAGTGCTGAGTTAAAAAAAAAGTCTTCTTGCCTGGAGTTCACCTCACAGTGTCCTGGACTATCCTGAGGTTTAGTTAATCCTACAGGGCCATCCCAGCTTTGCTATTGTTTGTTATTGGTTGTTATTTCATCAGGAGAGAATCTTATCAGTGCAGGGAGAGGAAAATCTGAACACAATGGAAAGGCCTTTGGCATCTGATATTCTTCTTTTGAGAATCAAAAACAAATACATTTATAACTTCACAAACAGTAAAGAAGAAAGATTCTTTTCCAGTATTTATAGAAACATAGTATTGTCCAGGTTGGAAAAGCCCTCTGAGATCATCGAGTTCATGTTCTGACACTTTTTTTTGAAACCCCCAGTTCCTCTTATTTACAGATCCTCATTCTAGGAGGAAAGACTGATATCAACAGTGCTGATTTAAAATTACTTATTTGGTGAACTCTTTAGTTTTAGACATGGCTCTGGCAAGAGACCCGGTTTCTCAACACTCACCTGGTAGACCTACACAATGACCTTTCTCTTCTGGCTTGGAATTCTAATATTAGAAAAAACTAATTAAAAAACTTGGTTCTCAAATGAGCTCAAAACAAACAAACAAACAAAACACGGAAGTTCCATATTAAACAATTTAGTAAGTTAATTTCTAGCCATGTATAAAGCCTTTTTTAATCTGTTTACTGTTTTTTAAGTAAATCTGTGTGGTCATACAGGGGGAAAATGTTCAAAGACATCTCATTACATGCTCAGTAAGTGTTTATTCCAGCCCAGGATCTGTTTAACAGGAAAGGGACAGATCAGATTTACAGGGTTCTTCTGTCGAGGCTGCCCCTGATGTGGGCTCCTGTCCTTCCCCAGAGCATCTCCAGCCACTGTAATCTCTGTAAAACCATAATTCTCTGGATAAACGTGTCTGCTAAATGCCTTCTCCGAGGCTCTGAGCCATATGGTTGGGATTACAGCACTTCAGTAGTTATTCCAAGTGAATACAAGGATGGAGCATAGAATAGTGGAGGGAGTTACATTCATAATTCCATTTATAAAGGCGATTTCAGGATTTTTAAGGCCCATATTCTGCAGCACTGGAGTCAGAACCACAACCTTAGAGCAAGTGCAAGTTATATTTACAAGGAAGAACAAGGTGCAAATCTGGTGCAATAAAAGCACATTTTTATCTTTAGGAAGTGTGCTTTTCTTCTAGATTGAAATGATGCTCACACAGCACAGCCCCTTGTCACTGTTGCCAGCATCATCATCATCCTCTGAGACCACGACACATCAGTGGATCCCCAACAGCCAGGACACCTCAGGAGAGACACCATGTAATCCTTTATGTTGTTTCATGTTTTTCTAACACTGTTTTATAACATACAGGAAAACGAGGCTTTGAATAGAACTCTTCCAGGACAAACAATGAGCACATGGCCTCAAAATGTGTTTCAAATAATGCCACAGTAGTTATAGTCAAATACAAGGACAGACATAACAACAAAGAGCATCAACTTCCCTCTTTCCTGGTCTGGTCAATTTTCCCTTTCCCATCTGTGAGTATGACCTAATGATACAGACTATTTGTATTTAATTTTGAGATCTGCAGAGAAGTACCATGAACAAGCTTGGTCTATATTGTTTCTGTTAGTTGTATATGTTTAGCCAGGCTTTACTTTCCTCCACACACCATTATTTACACTCCAAAGCACTGACTCCTTGCAAAGCATTATACATGTTATGGCTGTGTTTATAGAGTAGAAGTGCTCTCTGTAACATGTCTGTTTTTCATGTCTTAAACCAATAAAACTTTACATTGGGCTTATCAAAACCATTCAGTGTAGATCTAAGTCTGCTGTGACTGAAATCAGCAATAAAACTTCTCTTGATGCCCTGTGGATCAGAGCTAAGGCAACACTGAGCTCTCTTAATAAATTCCGCTCCGGTAAAAGTTTTATTTAAAAAATGTGGTCAACCCAGAGCTTTTAAAGAAGATTAATGTGGACTTATAAAAAATGTCTGATTTTATTATTAGTAGTAATTCATACAGTTTGTCCTGAAGTTTTCCTTTTCAGCTTCAGTTTGAACCATATGTTCAGGAAGTTCAACTGAAAAGCGATCCTTGAGCAATATTATTTTTTTCTAATTAACAATAACCACAGAGGTATTTTAGAGAAACCTACAGGCTCCCTCAGAAGGTTGTGGAGTGAGCTGGATTAAAACAGGATTTTGTCTATTTTATGAAAAATGCACCAAAGAACAAATAGGTCAACTTCAGAGGAATCCTTCCTTTCCTCTACCAAACAAAGGATTCCACGTGCAGCAAATCTTAATTTCCACAGGGTTCTTTTGTGAAAGGCCTTGGAGAACTCTGGGACCCACCAGTGCCCTGTCCACCTCACTGGGATGGAGCACAGACACAGCAGTGCTGCCACTGGATCAGCAGATAGGATCTGAATCCAGTGGGGCAAAGCAGTTCCTGAGGTCAGGTGTGATGGCTGCCAAATGCAAAAGCTCAAGGGGATGCTGGAAGCTGGGGGCCAGACCGGGCTTATACAGACTGGATGGGGATTTAGGGATAAACACAGCCATGGGCCCAACCAACTGCTCTGTGAGTGCAAACAAAACACAACAGGCACAAAGGAAAACCCCGCACTTGAACAAAAACGAGTAAAAAGCAGAAGTCAGAGCAAGGTCCATAAGAATACCTCTGGGCCAAATTTAACATCCACAGTCCTTGTACACACGATGTAACTGATGGCATCAGGGACATTGTTATACTGGATTTCAAGCACGGTTTATCCCAAATTCCCCTTTCCAGTGACAGCAGACAAAATAATTCTGGGTGCAGAAACCTTGCACTGAGGGCTCCTGGAGACTTCTCATTACAACACAGCTTAAAAAAAAAACTACTTGCTGGTTATTTTGAAGAACAAAGGTAATTGTTCAGTTCAACAGAACAATTCCATCCCAAAGGCAGCTCAGTGTTGTGCCGCTGTTTGCACTGGGGTCCTTGTCAGGTTTGATCAGTTTAATTGTTGAGGTTTTGTTTCCCCTGAGCTGTCACACTGCTCACTGCCCCAGGAGCTGCAAGTCAAGCTGTGCTGCTTCTGATCAGATGCTGTTTGTGCTTTGCTGTTTTTGCTGTTGGTGCCAGCCCTGACATTGGTGTGTGTCACCCACCGCTGTCACTACACATGCAGCCTCATCTTCCTGCCCTCACACTCTGCCCTCTTTCTTGAGACCTCTCTGTGTTGTCCTTGGAAATCAGCAGTTGTCTGGGTAAGAAGAACTGGAAAGGATGTGGCAACTGGATTTTCCAGAGGTACGTGTGCTCCTTGGCAGTGCCTGCTAGTTTATCTGGGATAACTGGCCCTCACAACCCTGAAAGCCTCATTGGCTCTGGACAGCTCTTTGATGTAGCAGCAATGCTTCTGTCCACAGGGTACCTGCATTCCTGAGGGCTTCAAACACAGTCCAGGGAGCTGCAAGAACAAGGTGCTATCCCCAGGGAAATAAACTGCAGAAAGGAAACCCTCCCTTGGTTGGTCTGTGCATCTCTCTACATACCAGTGTAGAAGAGCAAAGGCTCCATTTTTGCACAGCCACTTTGCAAAGTAAAACCATGTATCAAAAAGAAAGTAAAGAATTACGTTCATTTTCACAGAGGGCACAAACAAGGCCTGTTCTTGACAGGGTGTAAGATACCACCAAAGCACATCCTTCATCTCCTATCACATCCTGGGAAGGAGCCTGAAAGACCTGTGGAGTCTGTTTTAACCTACAGACTAAACTAGGCCCTGTGGAGGGGAACATTAATTTTTAACCCAACACAACAGCATTAATGAAGAGGAACAATCACTTAGTCCTACATTTCCTATCAAAAGCAGAGTGAGACTTGAGGCCTCATTTCCAAGTACTCACAGCCTACCCTCGATGCCAAATTCTCAATCCAGGCACACACCAGTGCAGCCATTAAGACCAGTTCCCCAAGGGATTCAATGCTGGGCAGTATACTTTCTTTTCCAAGGTCTGGGGAAGTGGGGATCCCTGTTAGAAGTGTTCCTCTGGATACTGCACAATGGTTGAACAGCATAGGGACATTCACACAGCACAGAAAGGTTCTTCATTCAAGAGCTCTGAATCTGAAAATGCTTAGAGACACATTGAACTGAAACACTGCAAGCATCGGGATGCAAAATAACCTATGTCATGGGAATATTCAGTTTGCAGATTACCTGTATGACATGCTGCTCTTCCTGCCTCTTGCCTTGCAAAGAATCTTCCCCTGGGGGTGTCTCATGCATTTTTTCCTCAGAGCTGCTCTTTGCTCCTTTGGAACCATCCTATGCTTGTCTTCTCCATTTGATGTAAAGCCTGGGCCTCTCTGCAGGATACCTGGAGCAGCTGATGACAGGGTGGTTCCCCTTCTTTTAAGTTGCATGATAAACATCTGTCAGCAAATTGCACCTAATGGGTGAGGGTGGCAAGGCCTGGGCCTGACTGGCTCCAGCTGGGTCCTTGGGCAAACTTCACCAAGCAGTGAATGGGCTTCTCTTGGACTGGGGACACTTGTGATGGATTTGTCCCTCTGCTGGTGGCACAGGCTGCAGCAGGACCCAGCAGTGCTTGGCACTGCCTAGTGACTCAGTATGAAGCCTTGGAGGTCAGTCTTACCCTGTGCACTTGCTAAACTCTCTCATGTTGCATTTTTCTGTAACTTCATTCAAAGAGCCTGAATTGAAAGTGCCTAAAGCCACAAACAGCGCTTAACATTAAATGCCCATCGACCTGCAGCTGAAGAGTGCTAGAACTCCTGAGCTTTAACATTTTACATCTCGGCTCAATTTGAATTAAATTTTAATTTGGGAACTCGACAAGCTGTACAATTTGCTAAGTCTTGTATAACACAAGGATGGTCAGACAGTCTCACTGCAAAATCCTGTACCAGTGTTTGTGTTATCACAGCTGATTTCCCAGACACTGGGATAGGAATTTCTTACAGCTCTGCAATGAGAACAGTCAGATTTTAAAATGTATAATGTAAAACTGGTAGTAACACTGTCCTGCAACAAAAACGCAGCTATAAAGTAAAAGTATTACAAGGGGAGAAAAGCATTAAAAAGCCATGTAGGAAATGTGGACAAATCTCTGTGTAACTGTTTTGTACAAGCCCACGCAAGGTACAGAGATTCCTTAACTTTGTGCATCTACATTTTACACCAAAGCAGTGGGGCTATTTGTTTCCTTTCTAAACTCCATACACTCCTCATGATCACTAAGCTTGGTACCAGTTCAGCCAGAGAAATCAAGGCCAGTTTGATGATATTCATATAAAAAGCAGGAAGTTTATGGAAACTTTGCTGAAGTTGTTTGTGTGTGTGTTTGTGTTGAGCTGCAAAGAGCAGAAGCACTGGTACAGTGCCAGCCAACCCTGCACATCTGTCCCTGTATAATCTGAACATTTGCTACCCATTTGGAGTCTGTGGGCTTCATTTTTACCCATTAATTGTGTATTGAAATAGATACATTAAAATTTATGAATATTTGTTGTTTACAACACACTGCTCTCCAACTGCTTTTCCCCTCTCTGTATTCCCAGCTGCCATATTTTATCATGCCCTAGAGCTGTAAGCTCTGACACACCACCGTGTCTCAGTCGTTTTCTTGCTTGTTTTACTCTTTGTGTTGTGATGTTTCTTCATTTTATTCCCATCAACTTTCATTGTCTTTAATTATGTCCCTGAACTTGTAAAGCTGTTTCTGCTAACAATGGGTACTTTGGAAATGGCAACAATTGCTTTTCCATGAACTACAAGGCAGGAAGTGCATTGTTTCTTTAAAAAAATTACCAGATGTTTTTCAGGACTGACTACGAACATTAAAAAAAACGCAGAAACTATTATTTTCCAAATACTCCAAGTCCAATTTTGTTATTGTGTGACTTCTGTTTGCATTTAACTGGGAATTGCAGCCTATGCCGATGCTAAAGAAGGAATTTCTCTCAAGCTAAGGGTGTAAGATGGAGTCTACCTACATGAACATTGACTCTGTGGACTCAAGTCCATCAGAGTGAGTCATGTTGCTCCTTGTGCTGTTCCTGCCAGTCCAAATACCAGCACTGGGGTACCTGCAGATTGTTATTCTGTGTTCTCTGACTGGAACAGATGAATATTCCTTGTCCCTGGAGTGCACGGATTATTGACAGGAAATACCCAGTGCTTCACAACGAAATGAGTGCATTTTATTTCTCATTAAAAATTAAAATGTATATTTGAAATGATAAAAGTATATTTTTAACATGGACAGTACAGTAAGAAGAAATTACCCGCATCACACGTGCCTGGAAATTCATTATCCCTGCTATTCCCAGACTACATCCCTCTGGATCACAAGCTGTTCATGATGGAGCGATACTCCCTCTGATGTTCCACAAGCTTCAAAAATACTTCATATTTCTTGTCATAAAATCTGTGTAAGGAAATTAATTTCAACAAAGCCTGAGATTTGAAGATCTAAATCCCCTGTAATACACACATTTAGTGCCTTCCCTCAACATCAAAGAGACTTTGACTCTTTCCTAATTACAGCTTCTGCCAGGATCAGAGCCCTCTCTGTGCGCTGCCAGAGCACGGTTTCCACCCGAACGAGTGATTTCAGGCTGTAATTACACCTTTTCCCTACAGCCAGCTTTGCTTCTCAGACAGCTTTTCCCCAGAGTTCTCTGCCCTGGGAGTGGGGAGACACTGGGGCTCCACAGAATCATTCAGGTTGGAAAAGCCCTCCAAGTCCAACTGTTCCCCCAGCACTGCCAAGGCCACCATTAGCCCATGTCCCCAAGTGCCACATCCACATGTTTTTTAAATATCTGCAGGGATGGGGACTCCACCACTGCCCTGGGCAGCTGTGCCAGGGCTGGACAACACTTTCCATGAAGGAATTTTCCCTCATATCAACCTAAGTCTCCCCTGGTGTAACTTGAGGCCGTTTCCTCTTGTCCTGTTGCTTGTTTCCTGGGAGCAGAACCTGATCCCCTCTGGCTCCACCCTCCTGTCAGGGAGTTGCAGAGAGCCAGAAGGTCCCCCCTGAGCCTCCTTTTCTCCAGGCTGAGCCCCCCCAGCTCCCTCACCCGCTCCTGGTGCTCCAGACCCTTCCTCAGCTCCTTTCCCTTCCCTGGACACGCTCCAGCCCCTCAATGTGTGCCCTGTGGTGAGGGGACCCCCGTGTCCCCCCCGTGTCCCCCCCGTGTCCCCCCACCCCGTTCTGGGGCGCGCGGACCCGCTCCCGCCGCCAGGGGGAGCCCGCGCGCCACCGCCCATGGAATCCTTAAAAACATAAATAACCCTTCAAATATATTATAGTCCTTAAAAATTCAACATAAATAACCCTTCAAATATAATATAATCCTTAAAAATATAGAAGAAATAATAAAAACTTAAAAGAATAGAAGTAATCCTTAAAAACAATCTTAAAAATAGAGTGTACTGTGACACTACAAAAATCTGGGTGCTCAACACTACTGTACACGAACAGGGATATAAAGAGACACACTCCAACTTCATTTCCAGACCCCAACTTCACCCCCCCTGAACTCTGCCAGGGGAACACAACAATCCCAGCGTTACCTTTTGTGCTCATGGTTGGGCTGCACGACTCTCCCAATTTTCCCCATTTTCGCCATGGCCTCCTAGGAAAAGACAAACACAAGCTGGAAAAGCCTGTTTTGGTTTAAAATACTTTTTGACGAGAACAAGATGTTTCAAAACCAATTGGAACATTAGTGATGTATTTTGTTTCGGCTGCGCAGGCCAGATGGCAGCAAATATGTTCAATCCCATTATATAGTAGTCATGAGAACAAAGCACTGCAGACCCCTCATCACCAAAATCTGTTCCTCTTTCTCACTGGGAGTCCCAGGCGGAACAGACTTATCTTCTATTATTTACAGTAACCAAAGGAAATGTTAAACACTGTGTCCCCAGAGGGGAGTTTCTCAAATAAAGTGATACTGTACATCAGATCCCATAATCAGATTCTGAAAGTGTCGGTTCCCTGCAGCAAGGAGGGTGCTCCAGAAGCTAAAGGTAACCTGAAAAGGTCTGTTCTGGAGCCCACAATTTCCCTCAAAGAGGCAAACTCTGATCCTGCTCTGCTTTTGGCCAAAACAAAGTCAGATTTTGCAGAACCCCCTAGAGGAGTTTGGGACAGTCACGCGTGGAAGGGAGAGAAATGAGTAATTTGGTTCCTCTCCTGATCTCTGTGAGATTCTGATTTTCCATGGATTCTCCTGAACAATCCTCCTGGAATGAGACACTAATCAGTGAAATTCACAGGGGACCAAGCTCTCAGGATAGGGTGGTGGCAGCAGACACTCAGTGATTTCACAAGGAGCATCAAAGCAATAGCTTTTAGATGGAAGAATGTTAACAGCACTAAATATCAGGATTAAAGAATCACTGTGTGACTAAATCAATGTTCATAGTTTCTAAGCACAACCCTGAAACAGCTCTAATGTAGTGCCTAAGAATCAGGATGACCCTGGAGAACAGGCAGCCTGTGCTGCTGCTGGAACCTTCCACCCAACTGCTACACCCAGCTGCATCTTTAGAAGGGTTGGATGATTTTACAGGCTGTAATATCTGCTGTAGTGAAATCTGTGCTTTCCACCAATCCAGCACTTCACAGCCAAGGATTTCCTAGAATTTACAAGTAGATTAGCAATGTCAGCACAGTGTCACAGCCCAAGGCAGGCAGGGAGGCTCCAAGGATCAGCTCTGCCTGACTGAACCTGCAGTATCACCTGGCATGTTTTGGGAGTGTCCTTTCATCCTGCCAGTCCAAATGTCCCACTAGAACATGGAACACCTACTTTCTACTTTTGTCAACTTCAGGGTGTCGATACTGGATGAAATCGTGGCTCTACTGAAGTAAAAAGCACTGCCGGTGTGTGCAGTCACGATTTCACTCTGCTCGGGCTGCTGATAAACTAGCAGGGAATATTTCTGTGCTCTCATTTGCCCATTCTCTTTCCTATGTGCAGAGGTTGATTGTGCTTTGATTCCCCAAGAAACACCCTTGAAATAACACTTCCAGCAAGATAGTGTGTTCCTTTCCATGGGACATGTGAGCCTGCTGGCACTGAGACTCTGCACATCCGCCAGATTAAAATACTGGCATGGAAAGGTTGATATCCTTCCCAGTAAGAGAAACAGGCATTTTATTCCCTGTCCTTTAACAGGTGATGCTGACAATGCTCCAGCGTTGTCCTTGTTTCCAACAGTCAGTCTCTTACAATTCCATTACATGGCCAGCTGGATTTCGAGATATCAAAAAAAAAAAAAAAAATGAAGACACAGAAGAAAAACCTACAAGTAAAAGCCAATTCTCTCTGTCACAATGAATACTGCTCTTCCATTGTGCCTTAAAGAAAATGTAAGGCAAAGGCAAAGCCCCTTGCAGCCCTTTCTCTCACTAATGGAAGACTCACCTTGCTTTCTGCTCCCTGCTTTACACCTCTTTTTTAATTGCCCTGGAGATGCTAAACAGAAATAAAGCCAAGACATGTAAACGGTCTAAACATCTCAGACAAAATCCACTTTTATCACAGGTGCAACCAAAATGAAAGGGAGGGATGGACTTTGCCATTCCCTGCTCCCTGCACACTCAGGCCTGCCTGAGTTAAGAGACCAGGACACAAACAGCACCATTCCCAGGATATTTCCTGCCTCCACACGCTCGTGCTGTGCTTTGCTCTGGGGCCTCTTACACCTTCCAGTGCAGCACAAGCCTTGCTGCTGTTTTGGGCAGTCAGCCAGCCTGGAGATAAACCCATGTCCACACAGGTTTTATTTTTCTGCTGTAACCCATCAAACCCCAGGTCTCCTGGGCTGGTCCAGGAGAGAACAGGCTCCCCCAGGCATGGGAGGCTGAGGGCATCCTGGCTCCACATGGCAATCCCACCCGGCTCAGGGTCCCTCCACACGTCCCCCTCCCCACCTGTGGCTCCACTGCCCTGCTGGGGCCCGGCTTCCAGACCAAGTGCTTCGTAGAGTCTTCAAAGGGTGAAACCAAGTCTCCACAAGGCTGCTGAGAGCTTCCCACACTCCCTGGGAGGTCTCCCCAACCCTGAAACCCCTGTGCACAGATTCCTCATCGTCCGTCAGGCAGCTGGAGAGGGTGTCACCGCTCCCATGGAGAGGTCCCTAAAGGAAAACTGGTCCCTCAAGGCCTGATCTAAACTAGGAAACAGGGCCTGGTCCCCTCAGCCAGCCACCTTGAGCTAAGGAGGAAGGTGCCCAAGCAGTGTTTCCAGTTTATCTGCTAAAATATTTTTGTGTTTTTAAATCTACAGAAAATACCCAGATCTTTGAGAATCCACAGCAAAAGTCTCACAGCAACTACCATGGTTATGTGGAATTAACATGTCAAAAAAATACACAACCAGCAATTTTCAACAACTCACCCATTCTGTGTTGCTCAAAATATCCTAAATTAATTCCCTCTCTTAATTCACATTTCAGTTGTGTGTTTTCCTGTGTTTTAAAGTCAGTTTGGTCATTGTTAGTTTGAACAAAAAACTTTACTCCCAGAGGAGAGTCTTTTCAACAATTTTCTGGGGACAAAGAAGAACAGAACATTGAAAAATATGAATTTATAATGAAATGGGAAACAAAGGAACATTAGAATTGCTTTACTGAATCGAATCAACCTTGTGCACTGCTCTGTCTCCAACAAAGCCTTAAATATAGCAAAGTGATAATACTGCTGTTCAGAAATAGTTTGTTGGAGGGTTGACATCCAAATCCATAATTCCAGTCACCAAGAATTTCACAATCTTAATTTGAATGACGCTCTATCTTCTTTGTTTGCCAGTCTAGACAGCACAATGAATATAGTGATTTAAAACACAATGAATTCTCTCTTAAAACAAAATATTTTGTAAAATTGCTTTTTAATCATTTCTTTTCTCTTTCCATAAAGGCTATGCTATAAATAACCCCTGAAAGTTCGCATTTGATCATCATTTCTAAAGGCTGGGCAAGAGGCAAGTGAAGGGTTTACACAGAAAAAAAGAGAGGCACTGTGGAGCAGGAATAAAGGGATGCATTCATGATTTCTAACCTTTTGTTGGAGTGTCAACGCTGAGACAGATACAAGGCAGTAAACACTCTGCTCTCCATGGAGAGAGTCAGTCCAACAGGGTTACCCTGCCCGGGACAGAAGGAACAGGCCCAGGGAACCAAACTCACCAAGGCCACCAAGACTTCAGAACAAGGAAGATTTTGCTGCTGGGAAGATCATTCACATCCACTTGGTCCTGGTGGCTCAATTCATCTCTCCAGCACCATCTGGGGCAGGGGATAAGTTGAAGAATCCAGGGTAGAGCCTCAACAGGTAGCAGATCTCCCAGGGAATCCCTACTGGAAACCAGGGAAACCTTGTCTCCTGTGGAGAGCCTACTTTGACACAGCAACTTAAAGCTGGACATTTCAGCTGTTTGCCCTTCAGTGATGGGAAGGAAAAGGTTCTTAACCCTGTGTGGCCACAGTGCAGCAAGTTATTCTATCATACCAAGAGGCACCAGGATGAGCCCATCAGCCTGGCATGGGAGCCCACAGGAGGAGCACACAAGGAATAGCTTTAGATTGGGAGCCTGGTTTTCTCTAATTCCCTACACCGTGGGATCCTCCAACAGCTGCCTCGGAGCACCCAGCACCATCCTGCCCATCCTACAAGAAGAGCCCATCTTCCTTAGGATACAGAGGGACCCATGGAAGATCAGCCCACTTGTGAACAGTCCCCAAGTCTGGCTTTCAGTAGTGACCCAAGGACTGAGTATTACTGAAAATAAATGACTTAATGAGAAGTCAGATTTAGGGATGTCAGTCTTGGCTAAGGAAGTGAAGTAATAAAATCCCACTGAAACGAATGAGCTGGGAACATCAGTCCCTTTAAGAAACTGGGGGGTTGCTTTATTTAGGTACTTTAAAATTGTATCCAAAGTTAGATGGATAGTTCCAGCACAAATGCAATTTCCCAGATGTGTTCTCCCCACTTAAGTAATTTCAATAATCCCAAGAAATCTTTGGGCTTTTACCTGGAGTAGTTATTAACAACAAAAACCCACATATCATTCAAAGCTTCCCTGTACAATTCCAGTGGCTGAAAGCACCTGGCTGCACATACAGCAAAGCACCAAACTGTGGGGACACGATGCTCCCACTCAGGCCAGTCTCCACTGTCCAGTGATTCTTACAGCTTTCCTGTCACAGATCCAGCAGCAGAGGAAAGAATGTAAAAGTTGCCCTATCCACAACAGGCTGAGATGTAGGAACATTCTTCCCACCAGATCTGTGCTGATTTGAGGATTCAGCAGGTGTAACAGCCTTTAAACTAACAGACTTTCTTTAAACTTCTAGTTCTCAACACAAATACAATAAATAATGTTATATATAATAATTTTAACTGTTCTTTGCCAGTGAAGAACCTCCCTCTCACTCATGTCTATTCCACGCACATAAGCTCAGACTAACAGATGCTCTTTAGCATCATTTTAAGAAGTCCAGTCACAGATATATTTGGATTTGAGAGGAATAAATAGATTTCTTGAAATGCTGATGTTCAGGAAACACTTTTAAACTTTTCTAAGAATTTTGACTAAGGCTTCTATTTCTTTATAGGCTTTTA